TTGAATAGCATCCCTTTTATCTTCAGTAAACACCAACTTTTTAAAATATAAAGTAGAGTTTATTAAGACAACAGGGGCTAAGCAACTTGGTAATGTGACTCGAGCTCAAGCTTGGTCATTCGACAAGGAAAGTGGCCAAAATGTTTGACATTTGCCACTCTACATTAGTTCGTAACAAGCATAAGTGTGCTAAATACGATACTTTTAATCATATCGGTAGAAATGGCAAACCGAAAGTTTCTTCTCCACAGGTTTTGAAGAAGATAAAACTGGAAATTAGATAAAATCCTATAAAATCGCTAAGAAAACTTTGCTTAGTTGTCTCAACAGGAACAGGATCCTCTCTATATCTTACGTTTATGTTAAGAATATACTGAATAGTATGGATATGTTTGCCTATCATCCTATTCAGAAACCATTTTTGATTAATAAAAATGTCAAGCTCCGATTTGAATTGGCCCAGAAGCGGTAGTTTATGGGAATAGAGAGAATAAAGACCATTCTATTCAGTGATAAGTCGAAATTCAACTGGTTTTACTCCGATTACAAGTACTTTGTGCGGAGAGAGCCTGGAACAGGACTTCTGCCTCAACATATTGACAAAACTGTCAAACTGTAGATGGAAGTGTAATGGTGTGGTGATATTTTTCATATTAGGGAGTTGGAATGTTGCTGTTTATAGAGCATTAAATGAATGCTATTTAATATGTGCGCATCCTTTCCGATGACTTCCTTGAATCTGCTGCATCAATGGGTTCGAAAAAGTTCATTTTCCAGCAAGACAACGACCCGAAACACACATCAAAGCTGGCATCATAGTCTTTGAGAGAAAGAAATGTGCAATTATTGTCTTTGCCTGCTTAATCACCAGACATGAACCCAATTATAAAGTCTAAAATAGGCATATTAGAGCCTTAAAATATCAACGAACTTAAGGATGCAATTAAGACGTCTTGGGCAGAAATAACCACCGATATGACAATGAGATTGGCTGAAAGTTTTCAAAAACGATCTATTGCTCTTTATAAAGTGACTAGTAGTGTGTTTTTTTAACAAAAAACTCTTAAAAATAATAAAATAGTCCAAAATAAACTTATTTAAAAAAACATTAATTTAAATTAATTTAAAAAAATACAGCTATCTTATATAAAATATCGACTTGTTTTAAATGTTGTCACTTTGACCCAAAAAGGGTGGTGCGATATTTTTTTACAAACTGTATATAATTAGAGATGTATTCACCCAATTTCGCTTAAGGTGATGAAGGACTGGTAGAAGAAGAATTTTCCCACTATCATATGAGTTGAGCTGACGTTTCCATTCAATTTCACATAGACATGCTCTTCCAAAAGTTGTTCTCATCCAGGCAACAGTGGACTGCAGTTTCAACCTCGTATCAATTGGTCTTATCAACACCCTCAGCGGGAGTCGAACCGCTTCTTCTACCAGTCCTTCATCACCTCAAACGAAATTGGGCGAACACATCTCATATTACTGATACACTGGTAGTCACGAAAACAATACCTTATTCGAAAAATAAATGTATATAATTCAAAATAGTATGATATAAAAATATAAAAAATACAATATAAACAAATAGCCTAATAAAATTCCGCAGAAGTCAATTTCTATTCATCATTGTTGTGTGTTTTTGAACAATGTTTATTAGTAAAGCGATTAAATCCTTTTCGGTGAACTTCTTAATTGCCCCAGTCCAGATGGTATAAAGTGCCCCGCTTGTGAATGCTTCCCTCCCTACCGATCTACTATGAAGTCCACTTCCGTTGTGCATATATCTTTTGCTTTTTCCCCCGAAACCAGGCGACAACCCTCAACCCTCGGTTACCCCATGTCGGCCTCGTCATAGTCGACATCTCCAGTGGAGACAGCCTCGATCTGTCAGCCAACAAATTCGGATGTTTCACAGCCTCGCCACAGCAATGCTCCGTCCTTTCTTCGTCGCCGGAAGACAAGACACACCTGAGCCGAGCCTCCGCTATCGCCACCGTTACAGTTGCTATGAGACAGCCAACGGCCGGGCTCGAGGGGAAGCTGGTGAATGCGGTCAACTTCACCGATGCAAAAGATTCTCGAAGTGCTGGACGTACAGATGCCAGGTGAATCATGTGCAGAGCATCACGAGCTGTTTGTTGATGGTCATTTGTGCCTATTCACTTGTTGTGCTTGTCGGTAGTGTCCGCTAGTTTAAGTGTTGCGCTCGTTTTGGTTCCGAGTGATGGACGGTAGGTCGAACCCACTCTCTTGACCGGAAGTCGTTCGGCTTAACAGACGTGTTCTCGTGTGAACATGTGCCAAGCTTGCGTGGGCAAGCAGAGGAGCTCGGTTTGGTAGACATGCATGGTAAATGCATGCTTTCTTGCGTCTTATTTCATCCCATTAATTCATAGTGACCATTTCTCGAAGACTTGCAATGAAGTCAATTTAAGAATCTTTTGTAGTAAACATTTCATTCAATAATACGAAACATGTCATTCTCAAACGATTCTTCTAAGCTCAGTTTCTTTTCTCATCCAAGTTGTATAATCTAATTTTTTCCCTCAACGCGTTGCATAGTTCCAACAGATCTTGTCTTACAAAATGAAGCACATCATCTTTATTTTATCATCCAATTACAGTGATGCATTTCTCCATTTCCACAGGCCCATTAAACCCTTTATTGTCTGCAAAATTTATTCTTTCCGTTCTAATTCACTCAGCCACCCACACACACAAAAGGACACATCAGACCATCTCAGACTCCTTTACCAGCGTTTTGGTACCTGATGTATGGAGACTAGGAATTAGTGGGTTTCTGTCCTTGACTATGAAGAAGATTTGGGTCTTGCAAAATTACTGTACATTTTCGTGTAATGTACGCATGATACAGTTATAA